ATCACATGTAAGAATTAATAAGCTGCAATATATGTTCTTTTTGTTTTTGCTTTTACTTTTCAAGGGAACAGCCTATACTCCTTAAGTAAACCAACCTCACTATCTCACACCTGTGCATTGCAGGTTGTGCATCATGCCTCTGTATTACACACATTTTGTCACAACCTTTCAGTGCACGGTGTCTCATATCTGATGAAAGTAAGCTCTGACAAATCCCAAATTATGTGAAGAGAATGTGGGAGTAGTACTGATCACAGTGCCACCCTTTTTTTAATCTAGAATTTGTAGGTCAGAAACAAAACGGTCAGAACCGCAAATACTGTACAATCGTATGAGTTTCGTCTTTCCAGCAGACTAGAAAACTTCTGTTGAATTGTACGAAATACGATAGGTTGATGGCATTTTCCTTTCGGAAAAAGATCGCACCATTAACACTGCTCATGCGCAAACGAAAATCCGTGCCGTCAATTAACTAAATTTGTCCAGGTGATTTTGCCAACGACTGCTAATTGAACTGAGCGATGGTCGGTGCATGATGGGGACGCCGTACGAAAATTGTACGATGGATCGATCATCGGACGTATATATTTGTCCGATGATCGCAAGGTGTATGGGCACCTTTAGTCTGTGTAAGGGCCTCTATATTGATGGGCTTTTATTTGCATCAGGTGCTTTTTGAACTCCCATACAAGTCTTTCAGAATGCATAACCCGCTTGAAGCGAGTCAGAAGGGTCAATTTTGGGTCAAATACCCCTGTCAATGTATTCTGAATGATCTCAGAAGAGTCTCAGACTGATGACATCTAAACAAATACCAAACAGTAGGTATGGAAGGCAAGTGCCTTCCTGAGGGTCACCGTTCATGTAAGGCTTTTTTTTTTTAAATTCAAGCATTTGGGCGGCTCTACAGCCGCTGCTGGCCGACCCTGGCTCCGCTGTCCTGCGTATGGGCCCGGGACTGGCACGACGGCTCTCCGTATTAAGATCGGAGGGAGATCAGCACCCTTCCATTTTCTGATCTCTCCTCTGATCTCTGAATGCGAAAGTGATGTGTATTACATCACTTCCGCCTTAAGCTGTCATTTCTCTGGCTGCTATAGCCAGAGAACAAGCTGATGAAGCAGATCTCTGCTTCATCAGCTTCTTTGGGGGTCCCTAGGTGACAATAGAGGTCCTTTAGACCCTGATGTCTCCATAAATAAGACCTTTCACTGTATATTTGCTATCACATAGAGGCCTTCATAGCCCCCTATGTGATAGCAATGAAGTTAAGTGTAAAAAGAAAAAAGGTAAAAAAAAACCCACAAAAAAATGTTTTAAGTCCCCCGCCCTCACGTACATACAAACATAAATACGTGTCGGGTGTGCCTATGTGCAAAACCAGTGTGTACACATGTTACACATCACCGCAAATGTCAGAGTGTGAGCAAAAATTCTAGGGCCATTAATCACTGTTAACACTTTTAATAATGTTAATTATTGAGCGGTAAAAGCTTTTAAAGCGTCACCTATGGCCAATTTTGGCGCATGCAATTTTAAGGCTTGATATGTTGGTGTCTATTTACCCGACGTGAGCACGTCCTTTATATTTTACCCCAAAAAATTGGGTAATAATAAATGTTTCATAACATAAACGTATGGATAACAGTTTTATTTCAAAATTTTCTGTACTTTTATCTTTATATAGTAAAAAATAAAAAACCCAGTGGTGATTAAATACCACAAAAGAAAGCTCTATCTGTCCCTAAAAAATTATCTAAAATTCATTTTGGTACGGCGCTGCATGACTGAATAAATGTCAAAGTACTGCAGTCCTGAATAGTGAAAAATGGCCTGGACAGGAAGGGGGGTTCAACACCCCAGGCTTCAAGTGGTTAAAGATGCAAAGTGGATGAATAAACATTAAACTCATAGCAGTAAAAAGCATAAAATGGATAATACCTGGGATAAAACGGAAATAATCAAATAAAAATGGTATTATAAATAATGGCATTTATTACTATATAAACTACATTTAAGTATTTAAAAATACAAAGTGGTCATTGAGTGGCATCTAGTGTTCACAACTGGTATTACAGTCTGATAATATCACAGCCACACTCATCAGCATTGATTATAACATGCTGCCTGCATAACAGATGTTATGCATCAGTATAAGTATGAAAAAATACAATAGCATACAGCACTTGGTATTTTTCCCCCGCAACGTTTTATCCTCTGCAGAATTATGTGTAGAAAATTATGGAAATATATGTTACTTAAAATAAAAGGTTTATAAGGAATCAAATGTTCAAAGGAATCCACCATTTCTGTGCACCACCCTAATCTACATACCACTACTACTGAATATTGGGCACATGTATTCCTCTGCCTTGCAGAATGGTCAGTTATCAGGCCTGAGCACCTTCACATGGGGACCTAGTTCTAAGGCTGGGCACACACCTTACAACCATCGCAAGACTTTTGTCTTGCGATGGTTGTAAGGTACTTAAAAAAACGTACGATCTGCCTATCTTGCATAGGCAGATCGTACTTGCGATGATCGCAAGCCACGCCCAGAGGGGCGGGCTTCCGATGACCGCAATGCTGAACGGGCAGTGTGCGCTTGCGCACACCGGCCCGTGCGGCTTTTATCTCACGAACATGCTACACACCCGCCGAACATCGTACGATGCTCGCCGGGTTTTGAAACATGTTCGTAAGTTTAAAGTTGTGCGACCTTACAGTAGTAGAGGTCGCACAGCTTCCACACACCTATTTCCTGTTCAGAGTATGTTTCACTGCCAGTAAACCAGTGCTTGTTTATGGACATCTTTTTTTAGCGTTATGCTCTGGCACCAACTTTGAAGAAAGAAAAAAAAAAAAGACAACCTTAAAATTGGTTTTATTGCACCATCTGCTGGCTTTACAGACAAATTATCAATGAGCTACCAAGGCAGCTTTTTTTCTTCCTAAAATCGGTACAACTGATGTATTTCAGTAAAACAATCCCTTTATGTTGTCTTACCATCCTTCAAATTTAGACTAAAGCTATTACCATTGGTCTTATGCAAGAACCTGTATTCTTAGTCTTTAAACAGCATTAAAATGATTACAGGAGGGGTTAGAGGTACAACAAAAATTCTGATTTGTGTGTTCTCATTCCCCTGTCCTACTTTGTATTGTCTCTGTCCTCCATTTCCAGGGGCACTCCAAACTGTGCCCCTCTTTTAACTCTTGCATCTTATTTGTAGTGTGCTGCTCCACTCCGCCAACTTTCTCCCTGCAGTCAGGGGTGGATCCAGAGTCTGGTCTCGGGAGGGGCACTTCCAGAAAATAAGGTGTTGCTTACAGAACAGCCAAGAGGCTGTGCGGGATCTTAGGTGCAGGGTGTCTGGAGGGTTGTGTGGGGTCTCAGGAGGGCTATGGGGGGGGGGGGGGTCTCCCCAGGGCTGTGCAGGCAGTGGGGTTCCCCAGGAAAGAGGGGGAGGATATATGCAGTCGGCGCTGTAAACAGGTGCTACATGGTTCACAGGAAGGTTGCCACCTTGGCCTCCAGCAAGTGCGGGACCTCAGACAGCCGCTTCAGTTAAAAAATCTAAAGTGATGGTATCGGCACATAGTATTGGGGCATTTTCATGAGTTTGAGTACTCGTGAAAATGCCCAATATTGGCATTGATACAGATACTGGTATTGGTGCATCCCTACTGTATAATGTAATGTATTGCTGGGATTTGTAGTTCTGTATAGTTGGTGGTTTTCTGCATTGCTGTAAAATCATTATACAGGAATGCAGAATATCGCTAGCTATACAGTACTTCAAATCCCAGCAATGCATTTTACAGCAAATCAGCAATGCTGAATACCACCGCCAACTATAGAAGACTACAAACCAGCAATACATTTTACAGCAATGCAGAATGGCACTGGCTATAGAGGACTACAAATCCCAGCAATACACTACACAACAATGCAGAATAATATGAAGCTACATACTCTATGTTGCTCCGGGTTCTCAGCCTGCTGTATCCAGTGTCTCGGGTGGCCTGTGCGGGCTCTCACCAGGGGTCCGGTGAGTCTTGCTGGAAAATGCGGCTCTCTACCCAGGCAGCCACTCATTCCTCACTAGGGCCCGAGAGGCCCCAGCGAGCGGCCTTCTAACATGCCTGATTAGAGGGCCACCGCTACGCATCAGGCATACCGAGACGATCCGGGCTGGCCGGGAACAGCAGTCCGGTGGCAGAGTGGCAGCAGATGGAGGGTGCGGCATAATCTCGGGGGGAGAGGGGGTGGGGGGCAATTGCCTTCAATCCCGGATCTGCCACTGCCTGCAGTGCACCTGTTTTTTGCCTATACCTATAGGGTATAATCTGCTCTACTTCACATCCAATGCAGCTGCCACTCAAGTATTATTGCCTTTCTTGGTACCCAGCATCCATGCTGTACTGCATGCTTCTTCTCTGCCTTCAGCGTTTCCCCTCAACTATGCCACACCTCTGCATACCTCCCATTCACATGACTTTTACTCTGCCTCTGGCACCCTGGTGTCTCTCCTGCACAAAATCTCTCCTCTGTTGCTTTCTATTATGACTGCAGTTTCACCACATAACAAACAGAATTTTTGCTCCGTAAACCATATCATTAAGTTTCTTTTAGATCCTTTTTGGTGCCTTTGTATTTTGTTCTGTGACCATTGTCATTTCGGTTACAAACTAGTCCCCACTATTTGCTCTCTGCCCTGACCTCATATTTCAACGTTAACTGCCACCTACCTAAATTAAAAAAAAAACCAAAGCAACAGGACTCAAAACAAACCAGTCTAGGAAGCAGTGAAACTTTTTTATTTGTTTTCATATTTTTGCTTATATAATGTGAATTGCAAACTATCATCTTAGGCATCAGAATTGGTTAACTGAAAGATCAAGAAGGAAATTCATGTGCTCACACTGTGAAGCAGACATCACAATAGTTTGCAATCTGCAGACCTTGAAAAATAATACACTTTTAACCTGGCAAATAATTAGACGTACTGTTGTTTGCTTGATGTCTGGCAACTGCTTGAATTGGAAGCCAGGTTGGCCTTTAAACTAGGAGCATTAGTAGCGACCACAGATAAACCACTTTGGGACCAGCACTCAGAGGATGCCTTGTCTTTCTCTAGACAGTTCACCTGCTCTTCAGTGTTAATACTAGGCCAATTGGTACTTTCAGGGTTCTTGTAAACTGGCAGCTCTGTTTCTTGGTTGCTTGCTGTAGGATGATGGTAAGATTGATGGAGATAAGGAAGATTGATTGACTGTGTGTTTGTGTAGCACCTGGTAGGATGGAAAGGTACTCCAGTATTAACAGTTTGATGAAACTGTTTACAGCCCAGGTGGACAAGTTCCAGCAAGTTCAAAAGCAAAGAGATGAGGGACACCACTAGCATAAAGATGATGAAAATAGTTTTTTCCATAGGACGGGAGACAAAACAGTCCACCTTGTGGGGACAAGGCATCCTAGAACACACAAAGACTGGAGGCATCACAAAGCCATAAAGGTACCACTGACCAAAAACAAATCCAGCTTCGAAGACACTTTTGAAGACAACACTAATTGTGTAGGTACACATTAATGCTCCTTGAATCTTAAACTTCTTAGTAGGAGATTCATTTTTACTGTCACTCTTTACTTTTGACACTGTCGCTTCAATGGCCTTCATTTCATTATTCCTGAGTTTCCGTTTCTCCTCTTTCCTAGACAGGTAAATTACATGTCCAAGGTAAATCAAAGTTGGAGTGCTGACAAAAAGGAACTGCAGAACCCAATACCTTATATGCGAGATTGGAAAAGCCTTATCATAGCAGACATTGGTGCAACCAGGTTGTTCTGTATTGCAGATGAAATCAGACTGTTCATCTCCCCAAACTGAGTCTCCTGCCAAGCTGAGAATTAGAATTCTAAAGATGAAAAGCACAGTCAACCAGACCTTTCCGATAAGGGTGGAATGTTCTTGGACTTCATCAAGCAATATTTTAAGTAGATCCCATCCTGCCATTATTTACTGTAAAACAATATGAGATATATATATATATATTAGTTTATTATAATTATGACTGTAGTTATGGAATACTGTTCATTCTTTGTCACGTTGAACAGATCACATTAGACAAGTTTATAAAACCTGGAGCAAAGCTTGAGTAGGTTTATTGCTAAGAATCTGGTGTAAGAGTGACCATCTGAATATTATTCAACTGCTCACAGTGGAAATGTTTAATTTTCTGTGCACCAGTTTTTATTGACTCAGTACAACAAATATCACACATTACACTAACTGTAACCACAGAAGACAAGAATATGGAGTACATCTATGTGCATATGGTATAGCAGCACTGATTGTGTTCCTCATTTTTAAACTATATGTACATCAGTTTTTTTGTCAGGAGGTTTAGAAAATGTAGGTAGTGTTTTTATCCACTAGGGATGAGTGGACTAATTCAAAAAAGCACCTTGCACCAATATGTTTCCCAGCAGCAGACACTACCTGATCTAACAGCCATTTGTGAAACAAATTAATTAAACATAGAGCAGCACACGTATAATTAATTTGTTTCATGACTGGCTTTTTTTAGATCGGGTAGTGTCTGCTGCTGGGAAACATATTGGCGTTTTTTTGAATTCGGATACATTTAGATTTACTAAGTGGATCTTATTCTTGTGGCCTGTATGGATGTATTCAAATTTTTGGAGCAAAGAGATGTAGATTTAAATGCAGTATTTTGTCCAGAGACACATAAAAAAAATAGAGAGTATGGATATTAGTCTCAAACACAAAATGGAAAAGAAAGTGAAACTATGGTGGGATGTAGCAACCATAGAAAAATCCCAGTATGTGGGAGTTTCCCAGTAAATACAGATGGGTTATTGCCCAGACATTTACCGTGGATATACCGCCAAATGATGGATTAGTAGATCAGGAGTCTGTGGGCGGAGTGGTTTAATTTTTTCCCCAACAGTGGTTTGGAAATGTTAAAATTGTTGGTAAAGAGAAAACAAAGGTTTGTTCTATGGGTCCACCACTCTTTTTGCTGTTGGTAATAAGTACAGTATAGCACTTGGTACGGTCCTGGTCCCCCCTCCCCTGTAACTTGGTACCTTCCTGTACAGGAAGGGGGGTTTTCAGGAAGCGGGGCTTGGTCTGTAGCGGGCTTTACCAAAGAGCGATCAGGGAGTGGAGCAGAGTCGCTTGAGTGGTAAGGTAAGTGTTTTAGCAGTCCAACGATGGGGGTGGGGAGGGAGAGCCTGCACAGAGCCTGCAGTCCACCCGAGAGCCCACACAGCCCACTTAGCTCACCTGGGAGCCTGTACAGGCTTAGATGTGCTAGTGGATAGATGAGGCGCAGTTAGTGTTGGTGAAGAGGGAGGGCAGTTATTGTTAGTGAAAAGGGAGTGCAGTCAGGGCCCAGTCACACCAATTGCAGTGCTTTCCAGAGCGGCAGCTGCTGGAATGCACAGCAATTGCTCACTAAAGTTTCCCCTTCCTTCTGGGGCGGGAGAGGGTGTGCATTGAAGTCAATGGCACCGCAGCCACGCCCCCCCCGCAGTGCGATTGGAAGCCTGGCAAAACATTGCCTGCGTTCCGGTCAACTGTGCTCTATTTTTTGCGTTCGCAGTGGGCGTATGGAATATGCGCGTTTGCCGCGATTTCACGGTAAAAAACACGCGTTTACGAGGGCTATCCGGCTGTATCCTAATGGATACGCGCGGAAAATACGCCCCAAAGAAGCTCCTGTACTTCTTCGGGCGTAGGGCATTTCTCTGAAATAAGCCCAGGTGGACCCATGCCCATAGGCAATTATTGGTTTTCACATGCTGAGCCTTTTACAGCGCGTCTCTATGCGCTGTAAAACGCCCAGGTGTGAACCAGGCCTTAGTGAGCGATTACTGTGCGTTCCAGCAGCTTCCACTCTGGAACACACCGCAATTGGTGTAAATGGGCCCCAAGTGTTTGTGAAAAGGGAGGGTGCTTAGTCCTAAAGCTCTGTAAGGGGCCCCAAAATTTCTGATGGCTGCCCTGACCCTAACCATCTGAATAAGTGGCTCTGGTAGCACTTCTATTTATCCACAAATGAAATGGACAGTACAGTTTTCATGTCCTGTTTTTGTTTCTTTTATTTGCTGTTCAGAGTGTTCGGCTTGACCACTAAAGAAAACCAAATCTCATGTCATTGTGCTAACTGACAGCAGCTGCCACCAGCTCCAGCGTCAAGCCGTCCTTGCTCTAGGGCGGCAAATGCGGGAATAGGGGCAGCTCTACCTAGAGCGAGGACAAGTGGACACTATGTAATGCAGTTTCAAGTCCAGCCGTCCTTCCCCACCATCTCTCCTAACTGAAACTCCGTAGTACAAGCTCTTTTCAGTTTGAAATTGTGCAGAAGCCTGAGCTTTGCAGCACTGATCACAATTGCAATGCTTTCCAGGTTTCAATGCAAATATTAAAGAAATGCATATTTTTAATATATTAATAATTATGCATTTCTTTACTTTTTGCAAAAGGTGAACTTATCCTTTAATTAGGGTTAAAGTGACATTAAACCCTCAGATTTTTTAACATAAAACAATACTGTAATGTGTGCCTTACTGTAATCCATGGTAGTTTCCCTTCTCTTTTCTGTTTTGCAGCAGACTGCCTGGTCTCTGAAATGGATACATGGTGTCTGTGTGTAGGTTTGCACCTGAGCCAGCACTACAGGAAGAAGCACTCAGCTGCAAAGGGAAGTTCTCCCCAAGCATGAGAACAGATACAGATTTAAAAAGGAAGAGCAGCAAAGAGAAGGGCAACTGCCATGGATTACAGTAAGGCACACATTACTGTATTGGTTTATGTTAAAAAATCTGAGGGTTTAATGTCACTTTAAATAGGAACAGCTTTTAACTCCTACATGCCCTTCATCATATAGATTGTTTTTTTATACCATATTTATGCAGCCCTTTTTTTGTACATTTTGTTCATTTACTTTTGTAGTGTTGCATTAAGTAGCCAAAATAAAAAAAACTAAACTTTATTTGTAAATAATTTTACAGTTTTGCCCCCGAGAAAATGGTACTGTCACAATAAACGAAACAAACCACAGAACATCTGCACATAGATGTAATCCATATTATTGTCTTCTGTGGTTACAGTTAATGTAATGTGTGATATTTGTGGTCTTTTGCAAATGACTGAAAAGAAAAAACTTGGCTTTGCCTTTTCATATGCTCACAACAATTAAACTGCAGTAGTTTAATCACGCTTATTAAACAATGCTACTTTAGACATTTTACTTTTCACCAAAGCATTGTTACAACCCACTTCCCCAACCGTGCTTTGTTTTGCATGGACCAGAAAGTGCCAAATATGAGTTCTCGCCAGCCAAAGGCTGGTGTTAGGGTAACTCTACCTAACCCCATCATCAGGCCTTTCATGCTGCCCATAACAAACACATGGTGCATTTTATCTTTGAGGCCCCATTCACACTACTGCACTGCATTAGTGCAGCTGAGTTAATGTGCATTACATAAAGCACCACAAAAAGGTGCATGCAGCAATTTTAGGCAGACCACTGCAACCCATGTTAGTACATTTCCACTCACTTTGGTGCAATTTGTAAATAAAGGGCACCCAATACACTATAACAGTGAGGCAACACCCCCACACTGCCGCACACTCCAGCATGCATTGTGGTGTGCTACATTAAAAAAAAAAATTGTTTTTTAGTGTATTAAGGCGCCCTTCTAGTCCAATCAAAATAAATGTCCTGCCTTGGCATGCCATAACATGATGCACAACCTTTAATTAGGGTTAAAGTGACATTAAACCCTCAGATTTTTTAACATAAAACAATACTGTAATGTGTGCCTTACTGTAATCCATGGTAGTTTCCCTTCTCTTTTCTGTTTTGCAGCAGACTGCCTGGTCTCTGAAATGGATACATGGTGTCTGTGTGTAGGTTTGCACCTGAGCCAGCACTACAGGAAGAAGCACTCAGCTGCAAAGGGAAGTTCTCCCCAAGCATGAGAACAGATACAGATTTAAAAAGGAAGAGCAGCAAAGAGAAGGGCAACTGCCATGGATTACAGTAAGGCACACATTACTGTATTGGTTTATGTTAAAAAATCTGAGGGTTTAATGTCACTTTAAATAGGAACAGCTTTTAACTCCTACATGCCCTTCATCATATAGATTGTTTTTTTATACCATATTTATGCAGCCCTTTTTTTGTACATTTTGTTCATTTACTTTTGTAGTGTTGCATTAAGTAGCCAAAATAAAAAAAACTAAACTTTATTTGTAAATAATTTTACAGTTTTGCCCCCGAGAAAATGGTACTGTCACAATAAACGAAACAAACCACAGAACATCTGCACATAGATGTAATCCATATTATTGTCTTCTGTGGTTACAGTTAATGTAATGTGTGATATTTGTGGTCTTTTGCAAATGACTGAAAAGAAAAAACTTGGCTTTGCCTTTTCATATGCTCACAACAATTAAACTGCAGTAGTTTAATCACGCTTATTAAACAATGCTACTTTAGACATTTTACTTTTCACCAAAGCATTGTTACAACCCACTTCCCCAACCGTGCTTTGTTTTGCATGGACCAGAAAGTGCCAAATATGAGTTCTCGCCAGCCAAAGGCTGGTGTTAGGGTAACTCTACCTAACCCCATCATCAGGCCTTTCATGCTGCCCATAACAAACACATGGTGCATTTTATCTTTGAGGCCCCATTCACACTACTGCACTGCATTAGTGCAGCTGAGTTAATGTGCATTACATAAAGCACCACAAAAAGGTGCATGCAGCAATTTTAGGCAGACCACTGCAACCCATGTTAGTACATTTCCACTCACTTTGGTGCAATTTGTAAATAAAGGGCACCCAATACACTATAACAGTGAGGCAACACCCCCACACTGCCGCACACTCCAGCATGCATTGTGGTGTGCTACATTAAAAAAAAAAATTGTTTTTTAGTGTATTAAGGCGCCCTTCTAGTCCAATCAAAATAAATGT